TGCTCAGGGACAGATGTGTGCACGAACGTGTTCAAGCACACGCTGCAGTTCCTGGCCGAGCAACACCAGGCCACCTTAGCGCACAGTACAGTAGTGTACTATGCAGTACTGTACCGTACAGTACTGTACAGTGCAGTGCAGTACAGTAGTCCACGCATTCTGCAGTACCGTACAGTGCCGTACTATGTGCGGCTGGCGGGCAACGTGGATGGCAACCCTTCCTGTATAATTTCTGTTGTCAAGACCCTGCAGAGAACTGCAGTTAGCATATATTCCGGGCCAGCCGCCTTCGTTCCGTGACTCCGTGTATACCTGGGTGGGGTGGGTTCCTCCTACAAGCTGCCATGAACACTGTACTGTACAGTACTGTGACTGTACCGTGTCCCTACTGCACAGCTGCGTCGGGAAGTGCGGTTACCCGGGCGGTTCCCTTGTTTGAGACCGTGCTGCATTGTACAATACAGTGTAGTACAGTACGGTACTGTACCTGTATACCGTACAGTACAGCATGGTACTGTATACTTTCCTGCGCTGTATCGTGTGATCGTTTGACGCTCAGGTCTCCATCAGCGTCAAACATGTGCTGGCAGTGGAGCTGGATAAAGGCAAGCGCGATTTTCTGATGCGCGCACACAAGCCCACCTTCTGCCTTTTCGAAACGGTGGACATGTTCGCCAAGGGCAAGACTGCATTCTGCCACACGTGCCGGCGAGTACACGAGGCGCCTGACGTCGACGTTCTTGTGGTCGGCTCCAGCTGCAAGTCCATTTCAAGGATGAACAACTCGCGGACAGACTACCAGGATTGTTGCTCGGCATAACGTTAGTGCTTTGCTGGACGGCCACACTGTACTGTACAGTACAGGTCGAAACGCAGTACAGTACAGTACTGTAGTGTTCCGCATACTTGTACCGCAACCTACATCACTACACTGTACTGTACAGTACTGTATGTACAGTGCAGCGCTGCACTGTGATGTATCGCATGGCAATCTGTCTTTGTCTGTGCACATGCAGGCTACCAGAAAGGCAAGGGCTGTTCTGGGAGCACGTACCAGAATGGTGTCCTGCAAGCGAGCAAAGAGTTGGCTCCAGCCCTTCTCTTCTTTGAGCAAGTCGTAGGCATTTTGGATTCGCCGGTGCAGAAGAACGGCAAGAGAAAGACTCCTTTGGTCCAGGCCGGTCGGGGAACATGACTTTAGCGCAGGGTTTCCTTGTTGTACATGTGGCAGAAATGGACAGGCGGACTGCAGTTAGCATATGCTGTTGGCCATGGGGTCGCCGAGTACTGTATTGCACAGTACTGTACTGTACTGTAATGTATTGGACTGTACTGTAGGAACAACACATAACAGCACAGATATTCCCAGTACAGTACGGTATAGTGCTGTACAGCGCAGTACAGTGCAGTGCATGCAGGTCATGGAGAGCGACATGGCATCGCTAGGCTACACCTTCCAATTCAAGAAGCTGGACGCGCAAGGCTATTTGTTGCCGCAGCGCAGGAACCGGGTCTACGCACTAGGAGACGTCCAGTCAGGCCGCGAACCCTTCAACCTCCAGTCGGCCATGGGACAGACCCTCGCAGACTTGGCATCGGACGTCTCTTTAGCAGAGCAAGTCTTCGATGCGAGCCTGCCCAAGGAAAGTCCAAGGTCAGCACTTGGAGCTCAAGTAGTGGAAAAGGCGAAAGAGGAGGCTGCGCTGCGTGCCGATATTGACATTTTCATCGACACGCAGACATCACTCAAGCGAAAGCCCGAGATGAGCTATGCAACCTCCACATGTGTGCGGCCGTCGCACGAAATCTACTCGGCAAGGATGGAGAGATACCTCACCCTCCGTGAGCAGTGGCTCTGCCAGGGTTTGTTCCCTAACGACTTTGAGTTTGCCGAGGAGGTGGAGAAATTTATCAGAGAGAAACCTAGCCTTGCGAAAGACCTAGTCGGCAACGCAATGGCTGGCACCGTGCTGCAGGCTCAGGCGGGGACACCTGTACTGTACTGTACTTACAGTACAGTACTGTACAGTACTGTACTGCACTGTAGGCGGACAGTGCCGTGGAATGTATCTTCGTGTACTATATACAGTACCGTATAGTACAGTACAGTAATGTACACAGTGCGGAACCGCAGTTGGCATGCATACAGCATACGGTGTACAGTACTGTACAGTACTGAGTACAGTGTTGCACAGCAGCGGTCTTTCATTCAAAGCATACTGTACTGTGCAGGTGATGGCTGCCCTGGTGCACGCGCAAGGCTGGAAGAACTTAAGTGCTGAGCACAGGACAAAGTCCATTGGAACTGAGTTCGACTGGAAGCAGTATCGGGTGAAACCCGCCGTGGAGTACTACAAGCCACCGACAGGCTTATGGGCCCCGCCAGTCACGCATGATCAGACAACCGAGCAGCTGAAGAACATGTGGGGCAAGTACAAGACTCACAAGAGTGATTGGAACGCCTTGCCGAGCAAAGAGCAGGATGAACTCTGGGTGCAATTCCGAGAGCAGCCACGGCAAGAGCAGAGTGCGAGCGCCGTACCGAGCGCTGTGGAAGATGCGCTTGTGCAGCAGCCAGCTGCAAAGCCACAGCCTAAAAGACGTGCAAGTGAGATATGGAACACTGTCGAACAAGCACTTGCGCAGGAGCCATCTGCAAAGCGGCAGACGACAGAGGCCTCGTCCTCCTCCAGGCAGGCGGACTCCGCAGCCATCGTGGACAAAGAACCTGCAGCAAAGCGGCAGCGGCTGTCCAAGACAGATGCTGCGCCCGTTGGCGGTGCCAACTGGTTTTCAGGAACCAGGTTGAAGCACAAGACATCACGCGATTCGGCCAGCTCCGCATGCGACCGGCCCGCCACAGGTCGCGACAAGCCCGCCAAGGACACAGAGAAAAGGGTGGTCATGTACGCCCCTTCCGTGCAAGAGCTTCGGAAGATGAAGAAAGAGCGCAGGCTGTACACCCGCAGGAGCGCGAACATAGAGCGCAAGGGCAAGAATGCATGCTTGGATATCTTCCGCAAGGTCGCGCTGCTAGACGAAACTCAGCCTTGCAGTACAGTATTCTGTACAGTACAGTACTTTACAGTATAGTCCCACCCTCACGGTACAGTGCAGTACTGTATGTACAGTATTGTGTGGAGTGCAATCAACGTGATGCCGTGCAGCTCAGGAATGGGAGGAGGCCAAGAAAGACCCAAAGATCAAGTCGCCAGAGCAGTACATGCTTAAAAAGCGCAGGACCGCTGCTTTCCAAGGATGCTTCGGCCGATGGTCCAAATCTGCCCTCCACTTCCAGTGGAGGGCATTCGTGAAATGCGCACCCGAAATGTCCAAGCTTTGCAGCGAGGTGCCGAACTCGGTGCGAGGGATGCTTGGATTGGTCAAGAAGCACACGAACAGCAAGTTCAGCACATCGAAGGGCCTTCACCAAATTCCTTTTGCATTGGGTGTTGCGCTGGAAAAGCTATTGATGGACCACGTTATCGCAGGTGAGGAAGTTACTCTGGCATATGCCAGCAGCGTTTGCAGCTCGCTGGTAGAGCTGTGGAATGAGCAGGTGGAGGGCTTTGCCAAGAGTGTCGGGGAGCTGAAGCTCGCGCAGGCAGACTCCCAGCTGGCATCCGGCGCGAGTGCCAAGGACGTGAAAGCAGTTGCTCAGGCCCGAGCTGCAGCGCAGCGTTTTTTTTGTTGTACGTTTGTGTGGCAGAAATGGGCAGGCGGACTGCAGTTAGCATATGCTGTTGGCCATGGGGTCACCGAGCACTGTATTGTACAGTACTGTAATGTGTTGGACTGTACTGTAGGAGTGGATGGTGCTGCAGGGGAACCACAACAGCACATAACAGCACAGCTATTCCCCAGTACATTGCTGCTTTGTCCGTTCTTGAGACTGCGTGCTGTACATTACACAACGTACTGAAAGCTGTCCTGTCAGGCGTCAGAGCTGGACTTCGAACAGGCTCTGCAGCAGCTCCGCCCAATCGTGCTAACGCAGAAGCACGAGACCTTCAGGCAATCACCATACAGTACTGTAAGTACTGTACTGTGCTGCACTGTAATGTTCTGTGTTGGGCAACGCGCGTGTGTTCTTTGTCTTTCCCTGGATCAGGAGGCACGTGCGGAAGGTTTGCACGAGCTTGGGCCTCAAGGCACACGCTGTGGGCAAGAACACCACAGGCCGCCACCTTCCATATGACCACCCATCTATGGAGAGGGTTCGCCAGGGCGTGGAGTTCTTGCGGACTCGCCACAACATCCGACCGGAGCTGAATCTGGGCTGCTTCAAGAGCTGCAACTTGTACAGTACTGTGCTGCATACACAGTACAGTACAGTACTGTACAGTACAGTGCAATAAAGAATTTACTGTGGTGCGGCATCATCCTGTTGGCAACAGCGTGCCTGCCGGCGTATGCTACTGTACAGTAAGTGCACTCTACAGTGCAGTACCGCACAGGGTCTTGAACAGTAGGACAGTATAGTACAGCACAATACCCTCTCCTCGCCCTTTGCTCTCCTCTCCTCTCCTCTCCCTCTCGTCTGTGATGTAAGAACTGCACTGTACTGTACTGTAGGCAATACTGTATGTACAGTAAGTAATACTGTACAGTACTGTAATTCTCCTGTACTGTACAGTAGCCGCCGCTGTGACCTGAGGACGTGCAACTTCGACCAGGTGTGGTGCACCCACTACGAAGGTCCGAAGAGGGTGCTGTTCAAAGATGCTGCGCTGCAGGGCATGATCCCTGGCAAGCCCAGCACCCCCACGCAGGCCAAAATGCTGCAGAGCCTGCGTGCCACACTGGGCCTGCCATCTGAAGCAGCCACAAACCCTCCACCCGGGGACAGAGCAGCCTTGAATGCTGGCTCCACGCTCATCCCCGTGGATAATAACCGCTGCGCTCGCACCACCACCACCCTCACATGGGCTGATGGCACAATGGGACGTGCATATGTCACAGCATCGCCCAAGATGCTCACTGCGCGCGTGATTTCCGAAATGAATGCAGAACTCGGTGGTATGATGCACATTTCCAGCAATCACGACTCCCACTCTCACATGTGGGCAGCTGAGACAATGTCGCACTACCTCGAGTTTCTGAAAACGGAAATCCGCCGCAAGAGGCAGTCCCTCCAGCTGGATGCCACACACAAGGCCCTGGTGCTCTGCGACGCAGCGTCCGTGCACTCCACCGCACGGTTCGCCAAGATTCGCAAGACCTTCGAGAAGGAGGCGGCTGTTGCAGCGCAGTACTGTACAGTAGTGTGCTGCACAGTAAGTACGGTACTGTACTGTAAAGTACGGATCCAGTGTGTGGTACAATCCGCATGGGAATCTACCACAAATACCAATCCGCACCCACTACAGTACAGTAAACGCAACCCCGACGGTGTCTATGAATAGCAAGCCACACCATGTGAAAAGCATGTGAATCTGCCACAAATACCAGTCCACACCCACTACAGCACAGTACAGTAAACGCCACCCTGATCAGTACGGTGTCTACGCATGCAGTACATACTGTACTGTACTGTAGTACTGTACTGTATAGTCCGGTATACAGTACTTCTTGATGGATTTGATTGCAGTTAGAATATACTGTACAGTGCTGCATTGCGCCGGCAGGCAAATGCAATCTTGATCCACGGCAAGGACGAAGATGGCGACGGGCTGCACATTCCTGGGGGCTGGGGCGCAGCTGGAGCCCCCAACGACGCGTGGCATCAGTTTTTCCACTCCATTCGGCGGAGTTGGATGAGGGTCGCATCGGGTTCAGCAGACATCGCAGCCTTGCGGCGAGTGCTGCACACAACCGAGCTTTCCGTGGACGGCAACCCCAGGTTTGAGCCCTCTGCACGCAATACTGTACAGTACAGTATTCTGCAGTACTGTATTGTTGTTCTGTACTGTACACTGTACTGTACAGTGCAGTGTCGCTTGCTCTACCACAAGGTGCTGTAGTTACTGTACAGTATTGTACAGTAGCCAATACGTACTGTAAAGATACAGCGCAGTGAGTACAGTACAGTACAGTGCTTTTGAGATCCTTTGAGTGTACTGTGCCCAGGCTGACGATCCAGAACAGCTTACGAGCTGACGCGTTCGCCCTCCAGCAGATCCAAAATTACCGCAGTGGCAAAATCCTGGCGTGGGCATGGGTCAGTCGGGGGCTGGTCACCAAGCAGCAGTTTGCTGATGCTCGCTTTGGCGGGAACCTGGAGAAGGCTCAGAATGCCATTAAGTCCGCTCCAGGCGAACTCAGTGAGATCATCAACATGGAACTCACCAAGGAAATCTCGCTCGAGAAGGAGAGCCAGGCCATCCAGGAGGCAGGTGAGCCGCTGCCGGGGGAGGTCAGCAGCGTGTGGTGCATCCAGCTCAACGCGGACTCCGAAGTGATCCCTCTGCCTTCCTGGTTCCGTGTCCCACTGCAGCACGTCTTGTGCGGCTGGATGGAACAAGCCATGCAGTGGGACAAGAAACTAGAGCAGCGGCGCCAGGCTGGCAGGGACCTGACCGCCCAGCAGCAGCTCAAGTATGACGCCTGGGTTGGCCAGACACAGCGCCCCCTGGTGTTTAACAAGCGGACAGGGCGCTTGGTTGCCAACCCAGGGAAGGAGACGCTCTCAAGACTAAAGAAAGAGTGTCTCCTCGTCATCCTGCATTTGTCCCGCCATGCCGAGGAGCTTAGGCTCACAGCAGGAAACGGGCAGCTGTATAAGCTGAAGCTGCTTGAGATCCCCGCTTCCAAAGTCTCCAGCACCAGCGTGGTGCCCGAGCAAGTGGACCATTTCTCAGGCGAGCGGCTCGTTCAGTACAGTACAGAACATTACAGTACAGTACAGTACTGTACGTACTCTACTGTCATGTACAAAACTCACAGTACTGTACTGTACCGTACAGTATTGTGCTTCGACGTTTGGTGGGCTGTTTTTTGGGAGCGGGGTGCTCTGTCTGAAACTGCAGATTACGGAGGATGAAAGTTGTTCAAAAACCGCAGTTAGCATATGTTTGGGGTTTCCCGCCCATCCAACGGTAGAGTAGGCTGCAGTGCAGTTCTGTAGATTGGACACAACATACTGTACTGTGCTGTGCTCTGCAGTGCTGCAACATCGACGATCGTGCCAGGCGATATGCTGCACCAGCACGAAGGTGATCAGGAGGGCGAGGAAGAGGGTGGGGATGGCACGGCCAGTGAAGCTGATGAGCTCGTCATGGAGGGCGAGTCAGAGTGGGTGGACCCTGACGTTCATGCGGCCGCTGAGGAAGAAGGGTGGGGCGACTTGCCAGACAGCGAGTCTGACGAGGCTGAAGACACGCCGGAGGCGGCGAAATCCAAGCAGCATTGCCCGCATGTCCTGGCGCTGCGAACGCAGCCCGAATACCTCAGGCTGCGTGACCTGAACTTGCACACCCGTCCGGATGGCTGCATCCTCTCCATCCACTTGGACGGGCGATGCTGGCGGTCGCAGGCGGAGGGCTGCCCCCACTACTCGCGCAGCTACAATGGTGTGAAATCCCGGAATTCGTGGCAGGCACTTTTGCGCGTGATGGAGCTGATGTTGCAAGATTATTGCGCGTCGCACCCATCCGACAAGCACGCAAAATCCCAGCTGAGCAAAATCAGAAAGCTGCGGGCAGAAGAGCCTGCGCACGACGACTGAGCCTGTACTCTACAGTACAGTAATTTTCTGCAAGTGAGTGTAGCAGAGCACTGTGCAGCACAGCACAACACGATACAGTACTGTATACAATACTGTACTGTACGCAAGTACTTTATTACAGTACATTACTGTACAGTACTGCACAGCACAGTACAGCACAGCACAGACTAGCTGATGATCACATTCTTTTCAGTACAGTAGTCGTGCAAACGCAGCTGGCAGCCTGCCACATGCAGTACAGTTCTTGCCAAGGGGGGAAGACGGCAAAAAAAAATGCAGAGTGCTTTGATTCTGCAAGTGGTTCGTGGATTCCTTTTTGTCAGCGTCGCGTGCGATCCTGAGCCGAGGCCTCGATGGTGGTCTGCCACCCGCCTACTGTGCATCGCGCCTGACAGGGTTTAGGGCTTGGGGCTTTGGGGTTTCATCCGGGAAGTTTTGAGGGTTCCTGTAGGAGCGGCGGGAGTCGAAGGCAGGCCGGTCGGGGAACATGACTTTAGCGCAGGGTTTCTTTGTTGTACATTTGTGTGGCAGAAATGGGCAGGCGGACTGCAGTTAGCATATGCTGCTGGCCATGGGGTCACCGAGTACTGTATTGTACAGTAATGTATTGGACTGTACTGTAGGAGTGGATGGTGCTGCAGGGGAACCACAACAACACATAACAGCACGGCTATTCTCCCAGTACTGTACGGCATAGAGGTAGGTTACTGAAACAAGCTTTCAATGGGCCCACTGTACAGTACAGTACTGTACAGTAAGCCCTACTGTACTGTACAGTGAACCCTAAACCAAGTACAGCAGGTGTTTACTGCAGTTCGATTCTTGTCGACTTTACTGTACTGTACAATAAAACGATGGAGTGTTTTTTTTTAAGTTGAATGCCCATAACATCAAACACAGAGCGGATTACAGTACAGTACAGTAATAATGTTGTTTACTGTTGTGTCTTTGTGTGTCATACCATGTCATACAGTACCGTATATGTGTCATATAAGGTCATTCCGCTTTGATTCTGCAAGTGGTTCGTGGATTCCTTTTTGTCAGCGTCGCGTGCGATCCTGAGCCGAGGCCTCGATGGTGGTCTGCCACCCGCCTACTGTGCATCGCGCCTGACAGGGTTTAGGGCTTGGGGCTTTGGGGTTTCATCCGGGAAGTTTTGAGGGTTCCTGTAGGAGCGGCGGGAGTCGAAGGCAGGCCGGTCGGGGAACATGACTTTAGCGCAGGGTTTCTTTGTTGTACATTTGTGTGGCAGAAATGGGCAGGCGGACTGCAGTTAGCATATGCTGCTGGCCATGGGGTCACCGAGTACTGTATTGTACAGTAATGTATTGGACTGTACTGTAGGAGTGGATGGTGCTGCAGGGGAACCACAACAACACATAACAGCACGGCTATTCTCCCAGTACTGTACGGCATAGAGGTAGGTTACTGAAACAAGCTTTCAATGGGCCCACTGTACAGTACAGTACTGTACAGTAAGCCCTACTGTACTGTACAGTGAACCCTAAACCAAGTACAGCAGGTGTTTACTGCAGTTCGATTCTTGTCGACTTTACTGTACTGTACAATAAAACGATGGAGTGTTTTTTTTTTAAGTTGAATGCCCATAACATCAAACACAGAGCGGATTACAGTACAGTACAGTAATAATGTTGTTTACTGTTGTGTCTTTGTGTGTCATACCATGTCATACAGTACCGTATATGTGTCATATAAGGTCATTCCGTCGGCTTTAAGGTTCCTTAGTATCTTTCTTTGATATGGTTCCTTAAAAAGGTTACTGTAGGTTTGTTCCGCTGCCTACCTTTTAAGGTTCCTTGTTATGTTTTAAGGAGGCACGAATATGCTAACTGCACTGGTTTTATTGATATTCCCTGCAGTTTTTGCCATTTCGGATGCCCATCTTTGCATCCAGGATGGCATATGCTAACTGCAGTTTTCTTGACATGCTAACTGCATTTCGCCTCGGTATGCTGGTGCTTTTCGTGTCCCCACACGAGAAGATAGCATATTTTGGACCCCTCTATATGCTAACTGCAGTGTTTTTTTTTGTCTAATTTCATCCGGGATTCCAAACAGCATCATATGCTAACTGCACTCCCAAAAAAACGCATATGCTAACTGGTGTTCTTGAACAGTAATCACCACGAGACATGGGAAGCAGGAAATACCCAAAAAGGTACTTACCTGTGGGAGCGGTGGTATGAGTGCCAAATATGTAGAAACATCTAAACAAACAGCTGGGTGTGAACTCTAGCATACTGTGGCTAAGTACGGCAGAGCTGTCTGTCTAGTAATGATTTACTAAGGCATGTTCAAGTGTTGCAAGCATCGAGTCTCACGCTGGAAAGCTCCCCGCAGGATCGAACGCGCATCGGCCTTGGTTTGGGTCTCTTCTCAGCGGCTGGACGATCCTTGGCCCCGAGCGTGCTGCTGTGCTCTTGGCAGGCTACCATCTCCAAAGAAAGCTTGAACAACACTGAGGAATTTTGTTCGGCCTGGTTGGCGATTGGGCTCCCGGGGGGCGAGGATTGCACCTTCGTTCTGCGGTCACAGACTTGGCGTTTTGTATGTGCTTCTGTTTCATGTAGGGCATTCCAGAGGCATACGACTCAAACCTGGTAAGCATCAACACATGTTTTATTCTAACACTACAAGGCACGATAAAGGATTAAAGTTTAAAGATGGGATAAGGAAAACAAGCATGCAGGGCAGCACAGCAGTTCAGCGCATTTGCCAGGTTCGGACGTGTAGAAGCGTTGTAATTGACGGCATGTGCAGCATTTGGCCACGCAGGAGTGTTGTCATGTTGCAGAGTGCCTTACTCTGAAAAAACGAGTCCCAATATGTTTTGATGCCGCTTGCCCCGGTCGGACTGAACACTCACAGTCGCGCGTGAGAAAAATTTTTAGCGGATGGGAAACCCAGTTGGGTGATGCCTAAGTCAATTCTTGTTTGATGCCTCGCCCTTCTGATTCCAGAGGTTGAATGCAGGTAGGATTCATATTAATTGAGCTTTTGCTGGGTCGACTTGGTCTGGAGGGCGCATCGGACTGGAGCTCGGCTTCGTTGGTAGCATTGGCTCCTCGGTAAAAACTGAGACGGTGGCGTTGTGGAGGTGGGTGTGTAGGTCCCCTTTGCGAGCACGACCAGTTATTGTAGCAAGCGTTTGGAGCCTCAGGTTTGTTCCAGCTGGCATTCTTGCTGCTGGAACGACTCTTGACAGCAGAGTGGGAGCGTACGGGTTGCATTGGTCCGCTGTCAGTGTCAGTGCTCTGCATGCGAAAGAGCAGAGAG